ATGTGTCTATCCTCATTCAACGCGTCTATGTGTCCGGCACTCCAACATCACTCAACCCGTGGGGTTCCAGCAGCTATCCCCGCGCAACCCGTCTATGTGTCTGGCAATCTCAAACCTCCCCTTTCCGTGGGGTTTCAGTATACAGCTAAAATCACTCCAACACGTCTATGTGTCCGGCAATCTCCTACATCACTCAACCTGTGAGGTTTCCGTAAGCAATCCTCACTCCACGCATCCATGCGTCACGCGTCTTTTGTAGCGCATACTATGGGGGCTATATTTGGGGTGGCGTGTTTTACAGCGCTTTGCCAACAGCGCCAACCCACTGAAGTCTAGATTGCGGGGGGGAAACACCGGGAGGGGGTAGGGGGGAGGGGACTATTTTGGGGGGGAAACACCGACGTTTACGGTAGTCTACATAGGGTAGACTCCCATGTACGTAGGCACTTGAATCTCTGGAGTGTGCGGCAGGTAAACCTCACCGGTCACCCCGACAAGCCTTTTGTATCGGCGTGCAGGTCAACAGTATTATTTAGTGCAAGTAAGTGGTCTGGGCCCTGTGAAATGGACGGACGGACATGACTTCGAGACACATGCATGCATGCATGCATGCATGCAATGCTACTCAATCCCATGGCGTTGAGCGATCGATTCCCCTTTTTTCCCCCGATCTACGTTCGTACATGAATCTCATTTATTTGTTGGTGCTTTTCTTCTACCTCTTGTGCGTTGGCTTCGCCATTCATTTATACATCCAACAACAACAGCAGTTTCCCCGTGTCCTTTCGTTTTGAACTTGAACATTATTCGTGCTTGTCCTTGGGCATCGTTGTCTCCTGCCAGCTATACCACATACATACGTACATAGTTCGGCGAGGGGGCCACTTACTACTAAAGGAAAGGTCGCAACGTCTTGTATTCCAAGAAAATTTGAAACCCATTTTTAGCTGCACCCCGATTCAAGAACATCTTGACGAGTGGCGTCACCCCGCACGTGGGTGGTTCAACTACACGATTACATACCTCTGCCTCCGGGATACATACGCACATGGAGCAGAGGGCGGTGGCTGAAACTTCCCCTCCCCCTCCAGAAAGCACCCCCCCCCGGTGTTTGCCATCGGGGTTGGGTTTTCGTCGCTTGGCAACGACGTTGTAAAACAAGCCGCCCCTCCCGGTGTTTGCCATCGGGAGTGGGTTTTCGTCGCTTGGCAACGACGTTGTAAAACAAGCCGCCCCCCCCGGTGTTTGCCATCGGGATTGGGTTTTCGTCGCTTGGCAAAGACGTTGTAAAACAAGCCAATTCACTTCGTGAACTCGGCAACCAGGTTACCGTTTTTTTTTTTTTTACCTCCGTTTTTTTTTTTTTGGCGGTAACCATAATGGTGGTCGAGTAGATCATGTTGTGCGGGGTGGAGAACCCTCGCTCCGCGCAAGGGGGATGATCGCACCACGTTGTGTTAAAATGGTCAAGCACCCTCGAGGCAGTTACACAGTGCTTACAACTGTCTCTGGAAGTGAAAGCACCAGAAAGTAAATTAAGTCATACGCAGCTGTCATCCGTACGCAAGGAAGTAAGCACAAGATGCCGAACACCCTTAGCAGGATGCAGCGCACCCTTCATGCGACTCGCCGAATATCTCACGGCGCTTCGCGCTTGGTGATGTGAGAGCCTGGTCCGGTGAGAACCCGGCGTGCTCCGTCCCGGCTTTGTAGGGATGCGAGGTCAATGGTCTAACGACTACGGCATGCACGACTATGAGTACACCCCCCCCCTCCAGAAAGCGTTGTGAGGTACACACTGCTTCACATGTTTTTTGCGTGCTGCGGTTGGGGCATGGATTGGAAATGTTTCGTGCATATTGCAATCACTTTGCTCTAAAGGTGTGTCCCACTCGTTGGCAAGAGCCTGGAGAAGGCTCTCCTCTAGACTAGCCGTTCTTGACCTTCACCGGCAGTAAAGTGGGGCCCGCCACGCCCTTGTGATCGAGAGACGGAACAAAAACAACAAACGACCACAGGTGTCAAAATACCAAGTGAACAGATTGATTCAGTACCTTACAGCAGTCACGAATATTACGAGCACGGAGGATAACGTGGACAAGAAACGTCAAGCATGTTCGTGAAAAAATAGCTCACAGGCCAAGCGTAGCCAGCAGTGGTCAGGCGATAGAAAGCGTGCGAGCTAGTAAGCATGAACCGTGTAGTGAGACCTATCATGTTTCCTCAGCCTAGCGAGGGAATACATTCATTCAAGCTCCCACGACGAAAAAGAAAGAATTTTGGAACATCACACGCCACCCTTTCATCTGTGGCTCCTCCTACCCTGGATGTTGCACAAATGAGCACAGCTCACACACACATGCCTCTTAACTCACCGCAAAAACTTCTTGAAACACACACCCGCTCCGTTTATCGACGTCAACCACAAGTAAACATAGAACCACGAGCGAATGTAGTCGTGAAAGAAACATACGACGACTCCACGACTCAAAACGGGGTTTGTTCGCCTATCGGCGGAAAACCGCAAGGAAATCAAGACATGCCTCAAAATATGCAACACGAAGTGCAATCACAGAGGCACAGGACTTGGAAGCACAAGCACCGAGCGCACAGCCCCCGCCACGGCCATCGGCACGTCTCAATGCTCGATTTGTTTCAAGTCGGGCAGCCTAGCATGCCTTCAGATGGATCTCGGCTAGCGTAAGAGATGAATGTATAATCTGCATATCGTCGTTGCACAACCCCTGGGAGGCTCTATCCAGCGTCACATATTAAACCCTTCTGGGGCAGAAAAATCTCGGTGTATGGTCCCTCCCCCCCCCTTGACACCCCCGTCTGTCGGGCACCGTCAACGCCAAATGTGAAGAAAAGTGTGCTGCTACAAGACAAGGGTGATCTGTCCTTGTGCGCGGCAAATTCCTCTTCCTCCGCCTCCTCCTCCTCCGTCCGCAAAAATCCCCGCCCTACGTCTTGCCGTCGAAATCGCTTCCCCGGGGTGACCAGCGATGGCATGGCATCATGGCACCGCCAAGGGCGGTACGTCTAGCCCAACGCGCACAAGAGTCCGAACTTGGGGGTTGTGTCGTTCTTGGCAGCCTGGGCGGACGAACATCGGCACAGGAAGGCAAGGGGACAGATACGTCGGCATCAGCAGGACGCATACATCGCAAGAGCATTGCTGTTTCAGGCAGCGATACTGCGGGAACTCACCTGCCTGAGTGTCGTGTGGTCTCCATATGTAGCAACGATGGTGACACAGCCGACCATGCACGGAACGCGGAGCAATTCACGACCAACTTTCATAGACCTCCCACCTCTCATTCGAACATCCCTTGGTGGAAACGGATCGAGCAAACTCAGTTTGTCTGGTGAAGACGGGTGTTGTACTTGTTCGGACAGACGCAGGGAAATTCCACACAAATCAATACGAGGAAACCCATTCACATGTACCCAGAGTACCACTAGCCGATCGGTCATTCACGTGCGCCGGGCACGACAAACCCACAATTCTGCGACGCCCTTCCTTCCCCTGCCGTCGATCTACAGATGTTCCGTTCCTCTGGCAATTGTTTCCGGGTGAATCTTTTGGTCTTCAATTGTTCCTCCGGGTGCCAGTCTCTGTGCATTTCTCACGCCCTTTGGCTCCATGTCACCAACCCCAAAACATCGTAGACGAAGATGCCAGGAGAATCTCATGACGTCAGCCCTCTCTCTGTTGTGTGCTTATCGCGTCTCTGCACCCCCCATATCCCTCTTCGCCTAGTCTCCCCACCCCTCTTTCCCTAACCCTTGCTCTCGATACCCTCGAACAAAACATCCATACGTGCAGCAGCGTGCGCAAAAACGCAACCACCGCGCGTCCCTCTCACTCACCGCAGCCGTGACGGTGACGGCCACCTTGTCGGCGCACCGGTTGACCGCGCACGCCTGCACCAAGCCGTTCGAGTTCACCTTGGCGCGAACGGTGGTCTTGGGGTTGCACTGGTATCTCACGCCGGCCTCGAAGCTGCGGTCGTGTCAAGTAAGTCACCACGGTAGCAAAAAAAAATAAGAGATGGTCGTTACAGGAAGAGATGGGAGAAAAGGCGTCCACGCGGCGTGGACAAGTTACCAGTGCACGACACGAGGCAGCCGAACATGCCGCCGAAAAGCAGCATCCGGCTCCTCGGGGGAGGTAAACGGGGCTGTCCGATTCTATAGTAGACGTCTAATCTTTCAAGCTCAACCACGACTGCGTTGGAACAGCAAATATCGGAATGACAGGCTGTGGCGTACTGTAAAAACGACAACGCAAAACTGCAGGACTCCCTAAACCGTCTCAACCATCATCTCAAACACGCAGCAATAGACGACACCAAAACAACACACGAAACAGATTCACACCCCTCCGTCGGAGAGGAATCGATGACCTGACCATGTTCTCAACATTCCTGCCCACGCCAACATGTCCAGTCGTTGGGGAGGCCAGTTGGCCGGCGCAGCCGATCAACAAAGACACACGCTCTTACTACTTACTTGGCCACCGCCTAGCGCGGTCAATGCCAATAACTGAAAAACACACACACACCCAAGACACGCATTTAACAGATTCAAGAAACTTCGGCCTTCGCCTCCTTGCTGACACTCAAAAATATATCGTTGGCCACAGCTGGTTGGCACGGTTGACGAAACTTTTATGAAGAACATGCTCATTAGAAGGCGTTTTTTCTCCTGCTACACGACTGACGTATTTTTCATTGGTCAGCCGACTGTCGCGGTCGGTGATGATGAAAAACAGAACACTAGTACATAAACGGGCTAACCTGGTCTCGCTCTTCTCGGGCGTGGTCACCGCCATGACGGAGCCCACAAGGTTGGGCTGCAGGATGTAGAAACCCGATGCGTTGTAAGTCTGCATCGCGTTCGTGCAGGTGAGGCTCGCGCCCCAGCGAGACCCGCCGGTGGCCGCGCCGACGCTGTAGGACTTGAGGGCGGAATCCTGGAAGCGGGAACGGGGAAAGGTGGGTAAGGTAGTGGGGGCGTGCTCACGTTGAAAGCGTGCCGTAGCTGCAAGACCGTCGTCCATGGCTGTGGGGGGGGGAGGGGGCGGGGGGCGGCGTATTCTTCATGTTTTGCATGCCTTAGCGGTTAGCCCATTGACCACGCGTCCTCGAGAGGACGGAGCATTGTTCCCACAGGACCGATCACCGATTGCCCATCGTTCCTTTCTCCTTTGCCAAGGTGCTCAAAAATGACTTCCCTGGTCATGTCTATCCTAACGATATCCCTTTCCGCCTTTTCAACCCACCTATGCCCCAGTACAGCAACCGTCCTTTCCTCTCCCCTTACGTCTCATCTATTTTTTCCCAGCTCAGTCACGAATACTTTCCTCTCCTTGTACCACCGAGCTTCCGCGACTACATGAACACGGTCTTCGCATTCGAAGCCGCAATCACATTTGAACTCGTCGTCTTCGTCGTCTACCGTCATATGTCTTCGACCACGTTTTCGTAGGTCCATGTCCCCGCTCCTGAATTTGACTTTAAGCTTTGTTCCTGCATCCATTGGTCCATGTAGGTTATCCTTGAACCCTATTCCTTTCACTTCTATACCCTCCTTATCCTCGGCTTCTTTCTTAGTGGATTCTTTCCTCAGATTCTGTTCTTCTCTCTCGGCACAAGCAACAGATATCTTCTCCTTGAACCCCTGTAGACCCTCCGTTTCCAGCGTTTCATCTTCGTCGATGTCGAGCCCCTTCCATACGTCCTCTACAACCTTGACCCATTCCGTGGGTTGTCTGCCCCTCTTTTTGTTTGCCCACTTCGCCTCCCATACAATTCTCGGTCACCTCTCCTCTCCCATCCCGCACATGCGATACTGTAATGTCACCTTCCTCGCGTCGCTTCCCGACCGTGGGGATTGGATCCCCAATTCTGCCCTCACGGCTGCATTACTTGTGC